CTAGTTGGGGAGCAATTAGCAGAGGAAACAAAGCCGGGGGGGGGGGGGGGGGGTGGCACGGTTCTTTTATCAAAGGTTGAGAGCGCAGATCAGACCTTGGTGGCACCGAGTGCGTAATCGGTAATGCCGCAGCGCTCGAGGGCAGCAACGGTCGCATCTTTCGCACTGAGCTTTGGGTCAAGCTGCAACGCCAACTGATACTTCTTGGCAAACTCATCAAAGAGGAAGCGGTGAGGAAAGCCGTGCTGGCGAATCTTCGTTGTTTCCATGACACCCGTGTAGCGGAGTTGACGCAAGACTTGGTTCACCAAAAACAAATCTGGTTTCTTGACGTCGTTTGGCTTTAAGCAACGGATAAAGTGGGGGCTACAACTCTTAATCTTGGCCATAAGAACCTGCATGAATGAAGAAGGGTGGGCAGGTGGCGACCAGACTTGTGAGTGAGGAGACAATGGCGACTTGGCAACACCTCCATCTTCAGCTGACCACATGCAACGAGCCCAGTGCCTACCGTCAAGCTCTGGCGAAAAACAGCAGCAACGGTAGGAGCTGCTTTAGATTGCACGCGCACCACCCGGCGTGACTTGCGGGATACGCCGCGATCCTTCCGCGAGAACATGTGTTTGGCCATGCGCACAAAGCGATTGCCACCGCTTGCACCGTCCCCATCTGTCGACAAAGCCAACAATCCAGCTTTGATGAGATCTTCCGAGGGGCAGAGGTTTAGAGAGACATGGCTGTGCAATCCGGCTCACCATCATGAGAGCCACCACCGCCTTTCATGCTCTTGCGAGAAGATTTGAAGCGAAAGCTTGCTTTCCTGTTAGAGCAGATGCGGGTGCATCACAATGGTGAGTCAACCCAGGCCACTGGCGCTTCAACGCTGCTTCAGATGACTCGAATGAAAATGGCTTACGCCTTTTTGTTGGACTGGCGCATCTTTTTCATCTGGGTGCGATCTGATTCAGCCGACGAAGCTGCCGTCGCGGTACCAAACAGCGCCTGCACGAGGGCGTTGCCAGATTCGGCGAGGACATCGGCGAGGCCTCCCGCTAGCTTGTCACGATTACGGGACAGGAATTCGTCCGAAGTGTAGGTTACTGGGCCGGCATAGTGCTTGATCTAAACAACATGACATATGCGCCACATGCGTGAAGGAGTCAAGAGGAGGAGTTGGCTGGTTGCGGCAAAAAGGACTGTATGGTGCAAAGATGTTGTCATCTTTGCCCGTCTTAGCAGTACATCTGGAGCACGCAGAGCGTGGAGCACAACAAAGAAACCGATGCGGCGGCAAAGCCAGAGAGGAGGGGGAGAGAGAAGCTGAATTTGATGGGTGGGTGTTTTGAGTTGTTGTCAATGAGACTATCAAACTTACCGTAAAAGTCAGATCCGAGCCGCCTTGCGCAAAATAAACAGAGCTACTCTTGCCGTGCAGGTTGAGCTTGTCTTGTAACGAGCGCTCAGTTGCGCGTGGAAACCGCGAGGCCTCATCGATGAGCAGCAGTAGGCCAACCGGTTTCTTGATAATAAGGTCCACCTGGGCCTTGTTGTCGGTGTAGTCGATGATGGTCCCTTGAATGCCCTCGGACTGATATTCCATAAGTTCGAGTTTGAAGATATGGGACACGAAAAAAGCCTGCAGCTGCTCATTGGCGGCGTTGATGCAGAGCTGTTCAAAGCCATTGTAGTCAAACTTCTCGAACCCAAAAATGTCCAAAATGCCAATACAGGGATAGTTGGACGTGTCGTCATTGGCGGGGCGAAGGGCTTGGTTGGCACGTTCAAAGAGCCAGTCAAAAACGCGATTATAGAGCTCCTTGGCGGTGGCATCGCGTAGATCCTCGGCCTGCACGGGCATCAGTGGCTTGACAAACGTTTCGCCGGCCGTGGTGATGGCTTGAGTCAGCCAGCAATTGCCCAGCTCTTCGACGTCGACATCCAGCAGGGAGGCGACATCGTCCAGAGCGTCGGGATTGGCAATATCGGCGTGCTCATCATCGGCGGTGCTAATTTGCACTTCGCCAATGAGTAAGACCGCCAACAGCAGCTCCTCGAGCTGTCGTTGCTGGTCGGGCGTGATACCAATGGTAGCCATGGCTTCGCTGAGCTCGGCCCAAGCTGCAGCTTCCTCTTTCTTTTTGGCCTTGTCAGACTACAAGCGATTAGGGACATGTTACAGCAAACACATGCACGCAGGATGAATAGAGCATAACGCCGGCACGCGGGCGGGGGGAAGGCAAAGCAGCATGAGCACGGGTTCCGATGGGTGGTGAAAAAGGCAAAGCAGGGTGAGTGAAGATGGGTCGATACCTTGTTAGGGGGCAGATAGTTGAAGCGCCGGCCTTTCACTTTGAAAGTCTCGGCTCTATTCCATCAAGTTACGGTTGAATGAGCGAGGCACAGGCAGAGGGAGAGCGGAAGGGCACGGAGAGCAGCTTTAACGGATGCGGCACTTGGATCAAGGGTCTTGATTGACTCACAGATCTTCGGCCATGTTGCCAATCAAGTAACGAAACACATGAAAGGTCTCTTCTCCGGGGGCGCGGGCAGTCACGCGTGATTTCTCCAGAAGGTAGCGGGACATGCGCGCGCCCACGGGCATGGGAAGACCGTTGTCCATATTGTAGACCACTAGAAAAAACAAGCCCGAGATATGCCACGTCAAGGTTGTCAGGGAACCGGGGCAGGGGCCGGGTGTAGTAGGGTTGAAATGAAGCTGCTATCTGACCTTCAAGGAATTTGCCAAAGCGGGATGAGTTATCATTGAGTTTAGTGGCAGCATTGCCAAAAGCCTCGAAGATGGGGTTGAGGCTGAGGATGCGCTGACACAGGACGCTGCCATGGCCACTGGTTTCCAGCAGGTGCTGGAGGATCAGTTTGGTCGTTTCAGTCTTGCCAGCTCCTGATTCACCGCTGGAGACGATTTGGTTTGCAAAGGGGTTGAAGGAATTTTTTTTTTTTTTTTTTTTTTTTTTTTTTTTTTTTTTTTTGTCGGGGGTGAGTTCCCGCATTTTGACAAGCTCTCTGGGAGAACGGGCGGCAGGGTTATACATGCTCGGAAAACCAACCTGATCAATGCGCATTGGCTCTGGGAGCTGGCATGAAGTTGCTGCGTGTTGTGCAAAACAAGGGTGGCAGGGGCACGGGGCTGATATGAGGGAGCGTGGGTGAGTTGGTTGGCATAGTAGGGCGTCGGGCGGAGAGCGTACACGAAGAGCGCGGGCAGCCACTTGATAAACGTGAGGCGGGAGCTCTGACTGGATGTCAGCCTCGTATTTACTCATTTGATGGTGGCCATAAATCTTGAGCTGTTTCATGGGATTGACTATCGATGCAACAGATGGGCAGGGGCGGGTTGGTTGGTGGTGCGAGCAAAAGAGGAGGAGGGACAGACAGAATGGGGCAGCGACACAATGAGTCGTCATGAAGGGGGAGATTCAGGTGCGGAAGGGGGTGAAAGCCAAAAAAAAGAGGAACAACAGCAACAACAACAACAACAACAACAACAACGGCGTGCAGTCTCATACGGGCGAGAAGGATGTCGCCGACGTAGGTGTAGATGCTGTTTTCATCATATCGATGCTTGAGGGCGGCGAGCAGGGAGGCTTCCGAGAGGGGATTGAGCTTGACCAGATTGGCGGGAACATGATCGAGCTTGATGCTGTAAATGTCGACCTAGATGATCCCAGCGCAATGACAAGAAAGGAACCCCGGGACTGAGGCCTGCCGAGGGACTGGTTGCAGCTAAAATCGAGTCGAGGCAGGCCATTGGCGCGCGCACCTCATCCGCCTCAACATCAATATAGGCGCCTTGATCGGCCATCACGACGTTGTGAAGCAGC